GCAAAGAATAGCAAGGAAAGCCGATAAATAAAGTAAGACGGCATAGGAATATTACAGATGTGTTTTACGCTTTATACACAACTGATGCCACCTGGCTTTCAGTAAGATATATTTCATGGCCTAAAAGTTGGAGTTTTAAAAGAATTTTGATGCGATTTTCATTTTTATTGGGCTTAAATATGTTTTTGCTTACATTTTTAGAAAAGGCATGGAAAATTATTTATGAGATTGCCAAAAAGCAAGAAAAAAATTAATAGGAAGTAACTAGAGTATGAAATACGGCAGGAATGGCATTTTTGAGGGTTTATAAGGTTTTATAAAAAGGTTTCCTCTTGTAATACCCTATGCCAAATCATACTTTATTTTATCGGCTTTCCTTGCGATTCTCCCCAACCCGTGGGGCGAAACGCAATCTCAAAACACACCCCCAAATGCAGAATCTCGGTAAACGCACCCTGGGGTGCGTTCAAAGGCACCCGGGGATCACATTAATGCACCCCCGACGGAGAGGGGAATGAAGCAATAGCACCCCAAAATAAGAGAAAACAGACTCGGGGTGTGTTTGAAAGGCACCCTGAAGAACAAAGACCCCCTGGGGTGTGTTTCAAAGGCACCTGGGTGCGGGGCTTTAAGTGCTGTCCTCGACACTAATGTCAGGTACTTTGCCACAGAATGTGATATTGTCGCGTTGCCCTCTTTATTTTGTTGGAATGTTGATAAATAATTTCCAGAACTGTTTGAATATTAGCGTGCTGGGCTGCAGGTCCCTAGTTGTTGTTAAGAGGAGACTTCACTTAATACGGAAGAGTTGCGGTGTTTTTGCTTTTTTGCGCTCTCCCGAAGTCTTTTCTCAAAACCCGGCAGATAGAGAAATTGAGGTTCTTTAGGATTCGCGGCGGGACGAATTTTTTCGGCGCAAACCTAAATTTAAATTTTGGTCCAAAAATTCATTTTTTCCGACCCAATTAAAAAGGTTTTCTACTTTAAAAATAGTTGAAACGTACTAAGACAATGTAAAAACGCTCTACATTTAATTACTAGACAAGGACCCACCAGGAAAAATTAGAAGTGATGAGAAATTGGAAACCCTAAAGAACGGAAATTGATTTGCGAAAACGAACAAAGTGTCAAATATGGCGGCTTAGTTGCCGTACAAATTCCGATTAAAAACTGTTCGGGCGGTGGTCTTAATCAATTCCAGTCATTGATATGCTGTTTTCTAGAAATCCCGCCTTCCGTCCTTCTTCAATATGGAGAAATCAGCTGGCGCAGTGCGTGAGGACCGGGCTATTTTGCGAGCGGCGAGTAAGTTTGCACTTTTGATCCAAAATTTATGCAACGGGGCATCTGTTTTGTTGTGGGCCACTCAATTGATTCATTCCAGGACGTGTCCAGAGCACCGCTTTTGATGTCTCCAACGCCGTCGAGCAGCTCAAACTCAGTGCTGCCCGCGTCGGCATCTGGGCGTCGTCCCAACAGAGGTGCTGCACAAATGCCTGGATTGCACAGCCGAGTTCGGAGTCGACAATTTGTGCTACTGCCAACAATGTTCGACGGAAATCTGCGCAATGTGCGCCATCCGCGGCCACCTGAAGCACGAAGGAATGTCACCAATTTTGGACGCTGAGTTGGCGAAGTTGCGCGCCCAGGCGAAGGCCAATACGGATGCCGTGTACGACGGGTTGCTGAAAAATGTGAAGGGGCTGCACACTCAAATTATCGACAACATGCAGCAGCTTCTCGTGCGCACCGAGCAGGAGCACGCAAATATTTCGGCCCAGAAGAAATATGACTTGGGTCAAGCGGTGGCGGAGAAAGTGCGGCAGTCTGCGGTGGACTTTGAGATGCGCTGTGAGGAGTACTTCCCGGTCGCCCGCAAGTTCAGCGACTACATGATCGATTTGAAGGAGGATTTGGACAAGAAATGAAACATCTATTTGTCTGTGTTATGCATGTCAGGTACTTTGCCACAGAATGTGATATTGTCGCGTTGCCCTCTTTATTTTGTTGGAATGTTGATAAATAATTTCCAGAACTGTTTGAATATTAGCGTGCTGGGCTGCAAGTCCCTAGTTGTTGTTATAGGGTTCAATTAATACGGCGGAGCTGGGTTAGTTTTGCTTTTTTGCGCTCTCCCGAAGTTAGAAAATCCAACGGCCAACAGTGACAGTACGGTAATTACAAAAGGTTTTCTGCACTCATTGCTTTTCTGATTTTGGTGGTCTCGATGGTGGTGGGGGCTTTTCAGAACCAGGAAGTGATTCTTCGGCTTCTAATTGTTGATCCCTTGCAGATTGGGGCCGGAAGATGGGCGCAGATTTTGTCTTGTCATCGCGTCATAACAATCAACAAATGGCGGGGGTTATAATTCAGGTTTCGGCGCCAACCAGGCAACATCATGCGCTATTTGGCGATTCTCCTTGCGGTTTTGTTGGGTGTCGTGGCGGCCCAGGTTGGTGGTTAACTTTGGTTTTACAATTCAATTTTTTGCTTATTTTGATGGTTTCTGAGGAATTTTAAATTTGATTTTTCGTTCTACTCCAGTTTCTATCAACACTATTCAATTACCAGATGGTTACAGTCGCTTCGCGACTGCAACCATCTGGCCTTCGGGCTGCCCTACATGTCTCACTCCACCACATCCTTTCCACTTCCATCAATACCCCATGGCTGAAAAAAATCCCCTTCCAAAAACTACCTAAATGTTCTCCCTGATGGCTTCAGATACCCCCGATGGCTGAAATCCCCTTCAAAAACTACCTAAATACCTTCCTGATGGCTTCAGATACCCCCCATGGTTGAAATCCCCTTCAAAAACTACCTAAATACCTTCCTGATGGCTCAGAGATTTCATGGCTGAAATCCCCTTCAAAAACTACCAAAAATGCCTTCCCTCCTGATGGCTTCAGATAACCCCCATGGCTGAAATCCCCTTCCAAAACTACCCAAATATCTTCCTGATGGCTTCTTCAGACACCCGGGATGGGCTAAATCCCTTCAAAAACTACCTAAATACCTCCTTGATGGCTGCAGATACCCCCGATGGCTGAAATCCGGTCAAAAACTACCTAATAGCTCCTGATGGCTTCCAGATACCCCCCATGGCTGAAATCCTTCAAAAACTACCTAAATACCTTCCTGATTTGCCTGTGATACACCCCACGACTGAAATCCCCTTCAAAAACTACCTAAATACCCCCTGATGGCTTCAGATGATTTAAACAATTAATTAGCATAATTAAAAAAGTATTAAAAAGTATTAAAAGTATTAAAGTAACTTTAAAAAAGCTATTCAAGTGTGGAAGGGGCCTGGGGGGCGAAGAGAAAGGGGCGTGGCGTGGGGAAAGGGGCTCCCACCTCTTTTACTAAGGAAAACTTTCAAAGTTAATTTATAATAATTTAAACTAAAACTTTTCTCGTAGTTTTTACAGTTTGGGGGTTTCCGAGCACGCTCTATCCGAATCCGAAGAGAGCTAAGCTCTAGCCCTTTCCCCTTCGAGTTGAGAATTCGGCTTCAGACGGACAGACGGACGGATCTGGAGACCTCCCGAGCAGTAGCCCATATAGCTGATCTTTCCACTGGTGGATCTGTCTTTCATAGAACAAAAACTCGATCTTTAAAGCAAAAGCTATTTTTGA